TACCTAATGATGAACTCCAAAATTTTGATATTTGGCTAAAATGTAATCTCAAGCAATTTACAATTCTCTACCAATGTCCTAAAATTTTGAACTCTCTCCCTATTTCAGTGACTCGTTCGTTAAACTTACTTAGCTTTAAGACGAAAATGTAAAAGTTTTTACTTAAATAATCACTGAATCGGCTAAGCCGCACATTCGCAGCACTTTTTCTTTACTTGATTTATTATTGTGAGTGAGGTGGCTGTCCCATACAGGTCAGGTGGCTCCCTGGGTCTCCTCACCTTCTAGCAATTAACACTAATTAAGTCTTTGTATTGTTAAAATGACATAAAAAAATAAAGATGATGATGATGATAATTATTTACAAAAACTTTTTCTTTATAACATTTAACGACAAAAGTAAACAGTAAAACATGTTTCAAACGACGTTTCGACCGCGTTTTACGGTCATTTATCAAGTTTTAAAAGTTAAAGTAACACATGGGCATATATACAAAGAGCGAAAATATGCGAAACGGGTATTTGAAAACACGATGTGTAAAAGAATTTTAATGTGCGAATAGAGGGGTTAAAAAAATGACGAACAGCAAATGCAAGGGAAGCAAAGAAAAAGAGATGCAGAGTGCCTAAACAAGCGTGGTCATATTTAAAGCACCACTTTACAGTTTTGTTGTTTCTAAATCATTAAAAGGCGAAACAGGTTATTTAACAAACTGATGACCAAAAATACACATGTGGTTATTGGAAAGACTCCAGAATACTCCCATACCATTCAAAACAAAGCCATAGTCCCTAAGGCGATCTTTTACTTTCATAATTGTTCCCGTTCATCCAAGAACTTTTGCTATCCAGACGACAAAGGGATAGAAAACAAGCGAAGAAATGAACGTTTGTTACAATAACAAAATATTGTCAATACTGCAAAGGTACCTTTGAAGAACCACATTTTCGGCGAAGTTTTTCTGCTTCACCAGTTTTTCGTTTCCTTGAGTATGATGATGCATTTTGAAACGGTATAAACTACAATCAACGCACTTTGCGCGGGAAACTGCGCCGTAGGTATATTGTCAGTTGCGCTATAAATGTATGTAAATGCAACGAGTCATACACCGAGGCGAAATGATCTACCAGCAATTCCAATCATAACAAAAACAAAATAATTTGGATATATCAACAAAGTTGAAATGTTAAACTGGCCACCGTAATGATTACAAAGCTGAAACAAGACCACAATTCTACTCTGGTTTCTTACGATTTTTTTCTATCCGTCTTCTTTGTTTTCACTGAACTCAAATGGTGTATCTACGGACTCGCGCAAAGAGTAAATCCCTTTCGACAACAACAAACATGCAAATCATTGTAATGGTATTCCCGCGAAAAAGCAAAGGAGAAGGTTAAAATCAGGTTTTTAACTATATCTCGCTGGCACTTTTTGATTTAAGATTAATTTTTCACCAAACTATAGATTAATTGTTTGAGCTGGAGAATGAGCGACAAAACTTTTTATTCCGCAAAATTTGGCATCTGAACGTCTTCAGCAACCTTTTTAAAGAGGAAGTGAACGCTGAAATTTGTATTTTTTGCATTTATTTCTAGTTAACTTTAGAGGAGTGAGATAAACTCTCTTTGGTTAATTTCCGTTCACTTCTTGTTTTTCACGAGAAAATTTGATTTGAAGTTGCCTTTTTTTCCGCTCTTGCGGCTAAGACCGTAGTCTCAAAACGATTAGCAGCGGTCGAATATAACGTTAGTGGTGGGGACCTAACTTGAGAAGGCCTCATGTGAAAGTTCAAACCTAAACGCTTTTCGCACTTCACTTTGCAAATATGAATTTGAAAGTATTCAGTCGTGGAGTGAATCGGTGCACCCGCCACCCTCTCCGTACAGCCGCACAGATTAACCAAGCGCTGGATACCGCCGGAGCCCAGTTCAGTAAAAATTAGTCATCACACATACACCTCTCCAAATAAAGAAAGACATTGAAAACCGGCTTACCTACATCAGAAATCATGGTTGTTCGTTACCATGAGTTTATCACCCATAAATAATTACTGCGTCCCACTCGCTCTTATCGTGTGCTGTCTTAAGTGTTTGATATAWGTCTGCTTTGGCTCAGAAATTCCCATTCCACCCTCCATTCAGGTAACACCAGTAAGAGCCTCCATGAATTTTTGGTTAACATCGTTAGGCCCGCAAAAAGAACCAAGGGAGCGCACAAAACAACTCTCGGTACAGGAACAGTGTGTTTACTAAGAGGGTCTCAATGGGGGGGGGAGGGGGGGGAAAGAGAAGCCCTTTTGACAGTTAAATCTAAGGTTATTTGACGGTTGATGGCTAAGTTTTTGGAATGTCATTTCTAAATGAACTAAACGCGCGAGTTGTCTGCAATTTTTCGTAATGACGCGTTTGTAAAGAACTGTTAATTTATAACACCTTTTATTCATTAATAACTAAGGTTTTACGACACCGGAAGTCAGTTCTGTCGCTAACCGGGACTAATCGCGCCTTAAGAGTTAAAGGACTTATATAAATGTATTTTTGTGATATATCAAAACTTTTATCTATAAACAACAGAACTTGACCCCAATTAAGGCGATCGTTTAGTTCTTAATTAAGGATATCGGAGACATTTGACGGCTAACACTGGCTTGTTTATTTGACGATTGACGGTTGACGGTAAAAATATTGCGTTTTTGACAGTCGACGATTGATGTTTTGGCCATTTGACGGTTGACGATTAACCCCATTGAGACCCTCTACTAATGTCCATTTGGAAAAGTAGTTTTGATTTCACTCTTTTTTGATATATAGAGATGTGAATATTCAAAAACTTTTACTCAATATGAAGACTTGATTGTTACAAAGCAAGCAATAGAGCGCTGTTTCCATGTTATTGAAGAATGCTGGGAAAGGCTCGCGCCATCCTGTTTGAGTTAGTCGGCTGGAGTTCCCAATGAGGCCGATGCTCACCATTTTTCTTGAATTTTTACCTACTTTACAGAAACAAATACAAACATGGGACGTGTTACAGTCATTTTTCTCGTGGTGTGTCTAATTGCCGCTGTCCTGGACGAAAGGTGAGTAGCTTGCCATATGAATACATGTGGTGACATCATCACGCAGAGGATATGGGACAAGGGCAAATTATTGACCACCAAATTTCTCAAAAAGGTCTAAAATGAACATAGAGTTAGAAAATGGGAGTTAGACATCCTTTAAAATACCGGTCCCCGGTCAATTCCATCTCACTAACTCTCGCTGGTAAAAGAAAACAGCAACAAAAAAAAAAGACAATCTGAACAATTAAAAGGAACACATGATTTCGCTTCACCCCTTAACATTTTCTGACAGAGCCTGTTTCTGAAAGACCTGAGGGACAAACCTAAAAATGCGAAAATTAGTTACAAACATAAGATTCTCCTGACAATGACAATGAAATAATTCCGTATACAGACTGACAAAAAAGGAAGTTAACGGATGGGCACGGCTCTCGATCCCTTCTTTGTTTTCAGTGACGCTTGGCGTCGTCGACGAAGGAGACCACCTCTTCATAATCGTTTAATCGCCCAAGAGCGTGACCAGACATATGGCGAGGAGATGAAAAAGGAGAAAGGAATAAGCCCAGAGGAAAACATGGATATTGAGCCGGGAACTGAGTTCCAAGATCAGGAAAATGAAAATTATTACCTTGATCATGAAATCTGATTTGCTCGAGGACGTTTGCTCTTGACGTTTCCAGTTTTTGTAGATCCTCAAAGGCATAACTTCAGACATATATTTAAATCTCATCCATGTCTTGGAAAAAATTTTCATGGAATATACTCAACACTCATTACTCGTGTGAACTGTGTTCGTTTGTGTTTTTATATGAAGTAAAAAAAAAAACTTGGCTCAAGGAAGTGTTACCCTTTCGTATTTGTCTTCACTTCATGATAAGCACACAAAAACACCGTCTCGAATTCAATCAAGGACGAAGTTATAAACACCTTTCAATTTACCACCTCGACTTTAAAGGATGAAGGCTAATTGGTCCTAATTGTGAGAAGAAAACGCAACAAGGAATATCCCCTATGCCTACAATCACAATCTGTCCTCACCAGCTCTTGATGGTGAAATAATTATTTACACTTGTTGTATTTCTCTGACTAAGTTTATTGCTGAAGTGTTTTTAACCATAAAGGTCCGTGGAAAAAGTCACAATCAACAAAATATAGAAATAATAGACAGCCAAAATATCAATTCGGCATCGAATGACTCTTGGAAACTTCCTACTCCTACTCCGTTTCCAGCTTGGCTTCGCCAAGCCACAAGCAGATTACTACTTAGTTCAAAATCGTCCTTCTGACCAAGTCCCAAAGAGTGACCTAGTAACTAGCAATGAAAGAGAGAATAAGAGAGAAATGGAGTAAAAGGATAACGTGGATATTGAGCTGGGAATCTATATCAACGATTATGATGAGATAAACTCATTGGAAGAAGAAAGCTTATTTTGATTCAACAGGGTGGGTTTTAACCCAGTTTGGTTTCTACAGAGTCTCGGGCTTTGCTGAAGAAACACTTTAGTCGCACGCTCACTTTTTTGGGTGAATTGAAATTAACACTTCTTTGAACGGAAATTTAGTTTATTCGTGTTTATGAGTGAAAGTGCAGCTAACAGTGAGATCAAACACATTTGAAGTATGTGGCAAACCAGGAAAAAAATGAACATCGTGGGTAACTATTAAAGCTAGAGTTCCCTACCTACCTAAAAAATTCTACATCTAATTCTAGATCTCTTCTCAAGAGTGGTCTAAGGCGCAAAACCAAGGGACCTGTTCTTAAATGAAGACCGGAGTCTCTAACGGAACTGTGGTTCTGAGTCAGCGTGGGTGTAACAAAATAATTTGATTTAACCCTAAGCAATTAGCCACCGTAAAGAGCTTCGAAAGCAGACGATTCGGACGTTGGTCCTTCGTAAGAGCGAACCTGCTCTTGGTCCGCTGTGTTTTTACCGAGAGATATAGGTTTTTCTGGCGCAGTATTTATTCAGTGGTATATAGGTCAGCTTTTGTTCGTACACATTACCAGCATGACTATTTAACAGGTAGGGCAAGGATATACGCCAACTAATGAACTTCTTTGAGAAGACGGTCTCCACAAATTATGTATGGTGATATTTGGATTGGTCTTGGCAAACTCCATGTCATTGTTATCCCAGGATTTCCAATTACGAACTTAAATGATTGAGATAACGAAGCTGGCTTGTAGCTAGAGTGAACATTAAAGATATGACATATTATTACCTAATTGATGGGGTGGGTCGGACGACAAAATAATCGGCTCGAGGTCACAATATTACGACCGAGAATAGCGATGTACTCAAGTCAAGACCAAGAGCCAAATAATGATGATCCAGCCTGACCAAACTAATTCAACTTGTAATTCTTGCTTGACCAAGTCCATACGCACTTTATCATATCACCAACACTATTTATCTTCATTACTTTTTCTTTGTCTTTTGGAAACGGCCTTGCTCCCGCTTAAGCCCACGGCCCTCATAGGGTTTTCTTTCAAAAAACTGTTTTCAAACAAAAGCGCACGTGGTCATGTGATAACAATGGTTTTTAAATATTAATGGTCTCTAAGGTCGTTGAATTACTGCTACATAGTAAACATTAAACACGGCTTTACATACGTCTCACATCATGTTTCAGGAAGTAGCTCTCGTGGTCAGCAAACCTGAACATGTTCCATACAAGGAATTCAACGACATCACGTGATGTGATACAGTTGAACAAGAAATAGAGGATTAATAATGAGAAAGAGAAAACAACACATGACAATAAAGGATCAAATTCCTTGAAAGGAGGTAGTTGTTTCGATTCGACATCTCAGGGGAGGGAGAGGGGGAGGGGATGAGGAGGGGGAGCAAACTTCTAATCACAGTTCTTATTCACATTCGAAGTTGCATTTTCTCTTGGTTTCTGAGCCACAGTCTAGTGATCGTCCCCATCAGCACCAAGTTGCTTCAGCAGGGCTCTTCGTCTGCTTTCCAGTTCACTTTCGCTCTCACTAGAGGTTGTATCCCACGCGGTCTGGAAGAGAAAACAGCAAACCAGCCATCAGTGCACCAGACTTAGTGTGTCACTTACCTAACGTTGAATAAACCAATCGGTTGTTTTGATTCTACATAAATGCTGCAAACGTATCACTACGCATCTTTTAACAGAGTAAAGCTCAGTTTTATGATTCTTCTCATCATATACACAGGCCGAAACTTAAACAAGCTAGGTGAAGTTTTCCCAATAATTCATTGCCAGGTTTGCTAAGATATATACTCTAGTTTCCGTTTAACTAAAAATTGTGCATGGTTTCAGCTGTGATCACCCAGTCGCTCCAGCTGAATGACATGATTAAAGACACTGCCAAAAGGAACCAATCTTACTGATGCGCCTCGACCACAGGGGATAAATGTAACTCTTTACTGGCATATAAAACAATTTTAATGACCTCCTGAGGGTCTTTCATCTTCACAAATGTAAGCTTTTGAAAAAAAAAACAAAAACAAAAACAAACACAAAAACGAAACTTGCAAAAAGAAAGATCACAAACTACTTTGACAACACTTTAATTCGTGTAAAAGCTTTTACAAGCAAGGAGAACAACGAGCAGCTACGAATACAACTCATCAATAAACTGCCCCCAATATAATTCATTTCATTGCTAATAAATAACTTATCTTAACTTTGATTAATCTCACGAATAATATCACACCAATTTGAAAAAGATGTTCAAAACGCTTCTCCAAAAAATTTGTTTCGCTGAAGTCGTAAGAGGGAATAAAAAACCCAATGAAGAACAGTAAAATCTCCATTCTAACACAAGTATCCTCGACATTAAAATGTCTGAAACTCAATTTAACCGGTTAACAACTTGTTATGATCTTGTCCCCAGGGCCCCCGACTACCTCGTGTCTCAGTTCAGAAGAAGAAGAGAATAAGAACTTGGGAGAAAGAAGTCGGGAGATTTTGGGGAAGTGGTGAAAATCGTTAAGATAATTCCTTATTCTTCTTGTTGTTTTTGGCTGTCTCTTTTTTGTCCCCCAAAAGCCCAAGCACACGACTTTGCTGTGAAATTCTTAAAATTTGGTAAAACTGAAAGCTCGAGTAACGCTCAGCTTCAAGAGTTAACATTCCCCTTGAAGTATCTTGACTGTCCGCTTCTTGAATTGCTTGTAAAACTCAATCCCGTTCTCTTCTGTAAGTCTTCATCAGTTTCACAAGATAGCTGCGCACGACCTGTAATAAAGATTGAGAAATAGTGAACTAAGGTGATGGTGATGGTGTCAGCACCTTATCCTGTGATTTCTTGGACTTGTCCTTTCCTTTATCAGCCTCTCTATCCTTATCCAGATCTTTTTCTCTGTCTCTATCCCTATCTCTGTCTCTGTCTCGGTCTTTCTCTTTGTAGTCTCTTTCTTTCTCCCTGTCACGTTCCCGTTCTCTTTCACCTTCTCTACTACGATCCGCCTCCTTTTCACGAATCTTGTCTCGCTCTCGGCGGCCCTTATCCCTGTCCTTCTCTTTGTCCTCCTTCTCTCTGTTGTACCTCTCTCCCTCAGAGTCTTCCTCGGGCTGGGCAGGCAAGAGGAAAAATATTACATGTCACATTCATGCCAGCGATAGTTTAGCAACTTATTGAGAAACTGCAACATTGGTGAGGCGCTACTTTGTTATAATCCTATGGTCTAATTGAATTTAGGTTTCCTTTTGATGATGCGAATCAATTGCTTCGGCACTAGTCGCGTATAAAGTTCGAATTGGGTCGGGGAAGTACAAAGCTTACTATTCTGAAGTCATCCTGGCATGATAATGTGACTTCTGTCCCGTGGTCATCATTACGTTAATATAACTAGATCAATAAAATGCTTTGTACACGCGTAGTTAATTAAACTGTTCCCATAAATGAGAAGAATAGGACAAGTGTACAAAGCACCTTACATATCTAAACTGAAATAAGCAAGGAAAGGTCACAAGCTACGAAAACTAGCCACAAATAGAAACAAACAAGGTTCGAGTAGCAATCCACAAGGAAAAAAGGAGGAGGTCGACAGAGGGAGAACAGTGAAGACGTTAAGAATAGAAGTAGGAAGCAAACGATTCCGCTAGCACAGCACCGTGGATACCCTTTTATATAGCAGGGGGAAGTTAAAGAATAACCTGCTGCTGGCTTCAGTTTCCACTCCTCTTTCCTCTTACTTGCACTTACCGATCGTTGTTTCTTCTTCTTTGATTTCTGAAAATAAATAATGAAATATTCATTTAAAATTGACAGTTTTAAAGCATTGAGTTGGAAGACAAACATCAAAGCTAATAAAAGCAAGCACTGAAACAAAACATTGAAAATTTAAGGGAATCAAGTAACCACAACAAACCATAATCTTCTATCAAAGGTTCCTACGAAGTGGCCGGAAATTACGATAGACTTTTTTTGTTAACGGGAAGGCCTGATCGTTATACCTTTTAGGTCTGTTAATGATCCCTCATTGTTTCCTCAACGAGTGAAAGACACAAAAGACCGCAGATAACGATGCAAGGAGTCCAAATGATCCAAAACGCCAAATCGGCCTTACTTCTCTAAGGTCAATTGGCCGTGTTGGAGTTGGACTAATTAAGACAAAACAGGTCTGGTTAATACAATTAGGACCTCTTCAAAATCAGATTTGGCTCCAATAGATTTAAAATAATGTAACTAAAAGCGAGGGTAGGGAGGTTAAATTGCGCGCAAATAAAAGAATAACGATCACGTTGACCTGTGATCGGGTCTTTTCTGTGTTCTCCCGGAACAGGAGATACAAGAATAAAACGAGGAAATTCCGAACAAAAAAAAAACAAAAACAAAAAAGCCACAAAGGACAAGGGTGGTGAGACCGCAAGTCAAAAGAGGCTCTAATGAGGATAGATGTCTATGGGGTAACCCAAATCTCACCTTCTTGTGCTTTTTCTTTTTTGATGAGCTTGCTTCTTTTTCTTGTTCTGCAATAAGCAAAGTTTACAATGTTTAGAAGGATGAATGACAAAGTGGGAAGAAATCAGCTGTAATATCCTCTCCGTGACCAAATTTGACGAAACTGATATATATTTCAGAGACTTGAACTAACCTGATTCGGAAGCAGATGATTCTGGTGACTTGGAGCGTGACCGCTTGTGGCGTTTCTTTTTATGTGACGATGTTTTTTCTCTCGCAAATTCTTCTTCAGATTGAGACGACTCCTATAAAATGGGAAAAAAATGAAATAAAAATCAGAAGAGCCACACTTCTTTCACGGTCTTATCCTGTGCTTTTAATTACCCGTGACGCAAGTACATGTATTCTAATTTTGGATCTTTACTTCATAAAAACTGGAACTAGGTTGTTTGTGGAAACTACCAATAGAGCAGTCAATTAATTGGTCAGTAATACAGCCCCTCAAGTCAATCAATCAATCAATCAATCAATCAATAAAATATCACTTAGCAATAACTCACCCCACTAAGCGATCGAGATCTTGACCTTTTCCTATGTTTCTTGGCCTTCTTAGCTTTTTTGTGTGATTTTGAATGATTATGGGTACATGCCTAAAAAAGGTCACGAGAAAGATATTGTCACTTAAATAGGAAAGACTTAACGATTGATTTAGGGCTCACAAATCTTATAATTTACACTTCATAAATTTCCAAGTCTTTATGTGTATTTCTGTATCACATAGGTACTCTCTGGTATAGGTATAATCGTGTATAAACAAAAAAAAAAAAAATCAAAAGCACCCCATGAACATCACGCGATGGAATACGTGCGCTGGGAATTGCTGCTTCATTGAAAGGTCCTGAGGCAATAAGTGAAGAAAAAGAAACAGGGCGCGATATCTTCCCTAGAGCTAACGAGATGTCTCTACAGTAGCAGTGGCGTGTTAGCAAAGAAAGTGATTACGTATGGAAAACCACGCCAAGCCGATTTAAATTGCTTTCAAATGAGATAACAAAACTGTGTAATCAATGAAACTAACATGAACCAGACTATGAATGCACATGGTTAGCTTACACGAAACAACGCAAGCAAAGCATACTAAGCAACCACCGATGCAGTGATGTGTGGACCACTGACGACTATTATAAACCTGTATGACCAGTCTAAGAAGCGAGCGCTAAGTCGGGAAGTGCAAGGATAGCATGGAGCGCAGAGTGCGAGCCAAGTGTGAAGACAGCGTGTGGTGAGGTAAGAGCGCGAAGTGGGAAGGGTGCGCAAAGTGCTCCCTCTTCTTCGGAAGCCGCCCAGATAGGATAGGCTTTAGTTATGGCAAAATCTCAGCCAAGGAAAGTCGTGATCAACAGGTTTACTGAGTCTGCGTGTTTTGCTTGCTCTTACGCTTGCGCAAACTGTATAGCACTTGTATAATTCCCTCACTATTCCGGATAAATAAATCAGATGAACAACGAAGGACTTGGCTAAACCTTTCTTGATATAACTACCTCAAGTGAACCAATATGTTCATTAAAAAGCCTTATGCGTTCAGATTCCACTGTGACTGCTGCAAATGCAGGATCTTCCTCGAGTCTTTCCCTAACCTTAAAAAAAAAAAAAAATTTCCATTATTCTCGACACTATTTCGAATACTAGACGCTGGTCAAGTAAACTACAATCTTAATAACTCTCACTTCATCCACACTTGTTTACGAAGCTACAGCCCTTTGCTGTTAAATTCCTCCATTTTGGAAATTCCCCCGATTTTTTGTAATCACTTCTGTGATTTGTGGATTTCGCTAAGTAGACTTAGTATGATTGGCTGCTTTAACTGTCTGATCACAGGCGTCCGATTGCAACGAACTGACATGAAGGGACATAAAGGCCACTGAAATTGTCCAAGGAAAAAGTATAAACGCAAGTTATTCACTTGAAAGGTTTCATAAAACAAACAGTTCAGAGAACTATTTTTCCTCTATGCTCAAAAACAAAGGCAAGAAATTTTGAAACAGCCTGTAGGTAATCAAGCAATTGCCCTCAAACATAACATTATCACATTTTACCTCGTCCCAAGTAGAATTTGCCTCAATTGCTGGAGAACATGACTTGAGGAGCTGCTTGAAGGAACTTTCTCTTCTTCTTTGCTAAGTGGGGAGAAAAAAAGCTTCAAGTTATATATGGCCTGTTCTGCGCCTGCAGTGTCTTAATCTTTTTCCCATTAATTTTCTTTTAACATGTCTTAAACCGTTAATCACCAAATAAAGAATGTTTAAATAGAGAATTTAATAGTACAAGTATTACAAAAACTTTACCTCTCTTTCTTCCTTTTTCATTCGTTCTTTCTCTCTTGCTTCAGCTTTTTCAATTAGCTGCCACGGAATGATAAATGATGTTATAAACAAAAGTTAGGTCTGCTTGGGAACCCATTGGCACCTACAACCAGAACTCATACCAGCCAAGGCTCATACCCGAACTTTTTGGAATCCGTCCCGTTGAACTCATTGATCACAACAGCTTTAGTATAATAAACTAGTAACGATCTAAAATCCGGTTCTCCCTGGGGTGTAGTGTTTCTAACTACTGTATGCATTCAAGCTTTTCCTTTTTTTCACTTTTATTACAAGGGATGTGTAGACATTTTGTTACATTTGAACTTACATGATTGAATGACATTTTGATGTTTCCAGGATCCAGTGTGTCACTCCTGTGATCTCCTTTGACAAGGTCATTAAATTCACTAAAACCAGTGTTCACATCAACTGTAAAATCATGATCCTGAAATTCATATTTCTTTAATCAGAAATGTCATTTACAGACAAGTACATATAGTATCTGTTTTTGGTTTATCAACGTGTACATCTAATTGGAACTCAACTAAAGACACTTTTAGTGATGAAATCTTAATTCTATGTTTCTAGGAGCACAAAAAAATCAACAACAACAAAAAACCATTTTAAGGTACGGTTCATTTAATTAGTTATTAATTCAATCCTTTGTTTGTTTGCTTTGCCACTTGGGTAAACATAAAATGACTCTCTGTTACAAACGTTTCTGCTTCAATAAAGACATGACAAACCTCATCACTAAGTACACATGTAGACAGCAGGGCTCGACACTAACTTTTTAACTTACTAGCCAAGTGGCTAATGACATCTGAGATGTTACGACAATTTTAGTCTGTTTACTGGCCAAACTGGCCAGTGGAAACTAAAAACCACCAGCCAAAACTGAATTTCTTCTAGTCTGTGGCTAATGGACTACCGTTAGTGTCGAGCCCTGAGACAGGCTAAGCAATTGATTTCCATCAGCCAAACAATATATGAAATAAAAAACAATGACTTTCATAGCTCTCTTCCCTGTGAAACCTGACTGGACAAATTTTAACCCTTTAACTCCTGAGAGTGATTTTTATCTAATTTCTCCTCACAGTATCACTGCTGAATCAGATATAATAGTCATGGGAATTAAGGAAGCGATCATCAACTTCAGGTTTTGATTGTCAAATCAATTCTCCAAGTCATTACCATAAGAAATATAAAGAGAATAGTGAGAAGAATATTCCTACTAACTTAAAGCGCATATGACACCAAATTTTTTTCTGTTTCCTGTAGTTGGATATTTATAAAAAAAGTTTCGAAGCCTTAGAAGAGCTGGAAAAAACTAAAAAGCATTTTTTTGCTTTCAAAATACGCGCAATTTGCCTTCAAATTTGTCCCGGTCATCGCGCGGCCAAAATCGCACGTGATATCGTAACGTGACGTCACATTGTATAACTACATCTACTTCATCTCCAGATTCTTGGAAGTCAATGGAACTTTCATAACAGTCCGACTCAGAGGAATCATTAGAATCACTGGACATCTTTGTCCTTCAATGCACTATCTATCTAAGTACTGCAGAATCCTCTTAGCGACAACAGACCTTCGCGACAAAGGTACACAATGTGACGTCACGAACAAATTCGACGGCGATAAACTAGGTCCCAGTCTCCGGGACAAATTTGAGGGGAAATTGCGCGTATTTTGAAAGCAAAAAAAAAAAAAAACAAAAATGCTTTTTACATCTTCCCAGCACTTTTAAAGCTTCGAAACGTTTTCTATAGATATCCAACTACAAGAAACCAGAGAAAAAAATTTCGTGTCATATGCACTTTAAGGGTGTAAAGGATTAACGACATGAGACAACTTCACATTCAACTTAAGGCACACTGTTGTTCTTACCTTCAGAATTTCTTTTATAATTTTCTTTTCTTCACTGAATCTGGCTTTCAAGTCTTCCACATAAAACTTGAAAAGGTCTAATGGAGTTGACCCTATTAGAAAGGAAGGGATGACTAGCGGTATGAACAAATTGCATATTCAGATGTGAAAAAGTAATTCAATGTTGAGTAATAAAAACTTTGTTTCCAGAATGTTTCTCTCTTAGTTTCTTGTTATAATTTGTTTGTGGAACTTTTTAAAGAGTTTATGTGAAAACATATTTAATGGCAATTCTTTCATTCTTCACTTTGCTTTCTACAGTTTACACTGAAATAGTAATCAGTGATCTCACCAGGTTGACTCAACATGTTTGTAAAGCGAACATCTGCACTGATGGTTGGATACAAGTCAATCCATAAAGACATGGAGTGAAGTTTGCCTCTCTTGTGCAACTCATCTAACAAGACCTAACATTAAAGATGAAAAGTAGTCAGTTTCTTGCCTACAATAAACGATGGGCTGTAAGAAAGAGTAGATATACAACAATAAAGTTATAGATAATGGAGTGAACAGAAAAAAAAGGCCGAATTTTCTGGTTGATGTTACATGCAGCAGCAACCAGAAGTAGAGAATTTGTACTCAGCGTTGGTGGGAAAGTTACCCACAAGCAGTTTGTCAGATCTTCCTTAAAGATCATCAGCACCATTTGATACCTCCAGAGGGAGAGAGCCACTGTGTCAGAAAGTGTCTTAGAAATGACAATAACACAATAACAAGGCATAGGCTCAAACCCAGATCCTTCAGTCCAGAGTCCAGTGACTTAACCCAAGAACTCTTGATCTAAAGTTCAGCCCACCATTAGGCCACGACACCTCACACACGGTGGGAACAGGAATGCAAACAGTTGACATAACACTTCCTAAATATAGTTACAGCTGAATCTATCAGGCAGGCTGCCATGTACGTAGAAAACTCCCTAAAGACAAAATTTCTGTTCAAAGGCAATTACAGCTTTAAAGTCAAAAGGAAGGTAAAAGTTGCTTTTGACATTTTGGGTTCTTGTTGATTGTTTGAGGTTAAGAATACATATGTATATATGACATTAGATGTCATTTCCAAGGGAAAAAACATTATATAACATGGCTTTTATTTTAATTGTGAGCAATCCACATTTTTATAGCATTTTGGTTGTTACAAAAATCAGGGGGGGAAGGGTAGTTTCTAAAGAAACTGTGGTGTTGCATCAGTGGGGGTAACAAGGTAATTTGGTTTCATCAACTGAGTTGATAATGTAAATTGGCCACCATAAATAGTTTCAAAGCCGACGTTTTGAGGGTTAGTCCTTCATTATTCACTTTGAAAAAGTGCTAACACTCATAACATCAGCTCCAAAACTCTTAATGGTGGTGAATTTACATTATCAACTATGTTTGTTAGGGTTAAATGTGACAAGGAAAACCATCTTTTATATATATACTTTAATATCAATAGCACTGCCTGAGACAGAAAACAGCTCTCCTAATATCATAGAAGCAGGTATTCAAACTCAATTGAATATTCATCATCCCTTATGATGACATGATAAGTTTTTGGAACACATTGTTAATTTATGTAAGGGTCTTACTTTGTAACTGTCAGCTTCAAACTAAAGTCAACCCCACCCCAACCCAACCAACACTGTATTCTGCTGACTTATGAAGAATCTTTTCTACTCCCTTGATGTAACTTTGACAGAGTGGGGCTAACCACACCTTAATGCTAATAAGGCAACAAGAGGGATACTGAACTATTCACAAACTCCTTACTTTCAAAACAATGTGTGGTATTTCATCCACATAAATATACTCACCAGGAATCCTTCCCTGTTTTTTCTCTGTTGCCTTTTCACTCTGTTTTTCTCTCTTTGCTTCTCCTCTTCTTCCTCTTGTTCCAGAGTCCTGATATGCTCCTCAAATGATATCAACATGTCTTCTTTCTCACAATCTGAACATTAAATGATATCAAAATGATTAAGTATTAAATTACTGTTGCTCCAGTTACTAATGTACAAAAAGTTTCTACTGGAAGACAAGCTTGAAGGAGACATTGATAAACCTCAAACCAAAGCATCAAAGATGGAACAAATTAACCTGAAAAATTAAGTTTTATTACCTTGGATTTCCTCATCATCCTTATAAGTTGGGTGTTCTTTCAGCATCTGCAAGGCCTATTCAGGGAATTAATTCAAATAAAAACCAGAAAGTTAACAGCCAAAACCTTAGCTACATACCTATTTTATTCTCTAAATTTAACACAACAACAATTGTACACACCAGCAAATCTTAATTTCGATTAATAATGAAAATTTCTGTTTGTCTACCCTGTGTTAAAATAAGATTTACTGTAGAACTCTACATATACTCCACAAAAATTACAATTAATTATAATAATAATAATAACAATAATTATAGTAAGAACAATAAAATAACAGTAATGATGATAAAAATAATAATAAACTGCTAGGGGGACAACACAAGTCTCACCTCTGCCCAAGTGGTCCTGTAAGTAATGCCAGGCATGGAATTGTACACTGTTAACATCAGCTTTCTGTTGTGTGCCCTTTGTTCTTTCTCCTCTTCCTTTTCCTTCTTTGTCAGGAAAAACACTACATCCTCAAACACATCTTTCCTGTCTCTTTCATGTACAGCCTCCCACATTGGTTCACCCTCAAACAATTCCCCAGCCCTGCGCCACCGCACTGAAGAGTGCATCTTGGGATGCTTTTCCAGGAAGCTACGCAAGTCCTCACGAGCCTGTTTTGCTTTTTGCCTTTGTTCTTCCTATGAAAAACACAAGTACAAGATTTAATCAATTTTGCATTAGCTGTTTGTTAAGTTTAAGCATTTAAGGCTACATGTATCTGTGAGGTACGATACTTTGCCGATTTCTGTAAACTGACTGGGGTAATCTTAATGTACCTCCACACAGAACAGGTTGCACTTTCAGGCAATAAATGTTCTCCTCTACTACTTCCCTCCGACTAAACTTGAACATTGTGGCTGACCTTGAGAAGGTGCTAGTCAGTCAAATCCCTCAAAGCATTTCAGGCTCAATGTTTGAGCCCTGTGTGAGGGGTACCTCATGGTTTCAATTGGCCTTAACATTCTTACTGACCAGTGACTAAGGTCATTTACTTTGCTTTTCAACAAAGAGTTCTATTTCACTGATAAATGTCCATTTTACCAAGTATTTAACTAACATGTTTGGTTGGAAAGTGTCTTTAGTAGTATGTACTCATAGCTACTTTGCATGATTGCTGCTCTGAACACCACTCTTTAAGGCACCTGCTTCCAAGCTCATCTATTGTTGATGAGCTAAGAAATGAAATGGATACATTCAGCAAACATTGAAGTCATGCAACAGGCATAAAAATGCTTACCATATTCATTAGTCTAAAAGCCGAGGGATTTTTTCACAAAACTTTACCAAAATCTCTAAAATTGGAGCTAGAGAAGGGTTCTCGGGTTATAGCCAAGTGTTTTTCCCAACACAATTTTTCTGAAACAGCAAATTCAAAGGAAACATAGATGTATTTGTCTACAAGCCTAAATACTGCATGCAGAAATAAACAATGAAACAAGTTGAAGTTGGTTGTTGACTTTATTTATGTGGTGGCTTCTAAAGGAACCGTTTGTTGTTTTCGGCACGTGGTAAATATGGCTTACTGTTTGTCCTCAGTGTCGTTGTCGAATTCGTTGTTCATCTCCTCCTCATCCTCTAGTTCAGCTGTTTCTCCCGATGAGATTGCTTCACCTTCCCTGCCGTCTAGGGTGTTAAAGATTCCCCAGGTTTTGAACGAGTGTATAGATCTTGCAAAAGTGTTTTGATGATTTCGAAACTGACCAATCAGAATCACCCAGTCCCATGATTGGTAAACAAACTCGTCACATACTGCAGTGTTGAAATTTGCGATCATGTAAAGAGAAAACTCACCTTGGTTTCTCTGCACTGTAAACCAGTCAAGTAATCTCTCATCCAGCTGAGGATATTTCGGAGTGTAACAGCCCATCGTTGTACATTTAACTGACGTCTTGAGCTCTCCATTAAAGAGGATCTCTTGATCTTTCCTCCAGCGGCGGATCATAGGCTCACTGATGACGTACTCTCTGGCTATCTCGGAATTGTTTTCAACGGAAATACTCCATTGAAACTGACTTTTCTGTTTCGAAACTTTTGCGTTCATTTCAGTTTGTTTGATTATGGAATTCTCTGAATATGGTCTCGGCTTATAGCCAAGTATTTTCAATTTGCTTTTTTTGAGAACCTTGCTGATTAAAACAGATCAAAGTTTAGGGTCTCAGCTTATAGCTGAGTTCGGCTTATAGACGAATAAATACGGTAGCTTGCGATGGACTAATGTGCACTTTTGAGCTACATATAATAATAATGCACCTACATAATTATATGTAGCAATATGCCTAATACAGTCATGTTGAAATATAGTATGGAAACCATATAGAATAGCATACCTTTTCCTCATTAGCTCGTTTTGTTTTGTATTCATTGAATGCTTGTTTTTTCTCATTCATTTTCTTCAAGGCTCCATATCTGGGATCATTAACAATCATCCTCATGGCATTATCCCAAGTGGAGTTAGAAGGAACCTCCTGTCCATAAGAGTTAAGTAAAAATCAAAATATTAGTAAGTATAAAAATTTGAATATACTGTAGTTTCTTGGTTATAAGGTGCATGGATTTTCAAGAAAATTCTGTCTTCAAGTGGAAAGTTGAAAGTTGAAATTGGGGTGTGTGTTAGAGCCAAGTATTTTTGTACAACTATATCTTAATTCTAGCAGAACTTACAGTTAAAAAGACAAGAAAAGGACAACAATTGTTGGTCATTGACTTTTTTAGATCTGATGGTTCTTGGCATGATTAAGTTACTAAGTTTGGAGTGCACCTTATAACTAACTGCGCCTTATAACTGAGAAACTACAATACACGTAATGCACAGAGGATAAGTTAAAAATGTAGTACCAACACATTCATACAATACAGTAGTACAATGACATACACAGTGTCCTTAATGGTTTGAAATTTCACATAATTCTTCTTGTTAACATAACCACTCCATTAGAAGGACTAAGTTTATATTTCATTGTGGTTGTATTAACAGGAATCAACACTCAACATAAAATAGAGCATAACATTACTGATGTGTGCATGTTTTGCTGACTGGAAAAACAAATATATCTTGAATGTAAACAAAGCCAGCCAGTTGAGTTTAAGTATGTAATGTAAATAACAGTTTTACTAGAAATTGACATAATTTTTGAATTTCAGTGGGACTTTGAATGTCACTCCTTTGCTTGCTCCTCCATCACTTCCTGTTAACTTTTAAGTGAATCTGCTGACAACTGCATAATCATGGTTCCATAGTTTCAGTTTGTGTGTGTGTTTTCATTTTCAAAACTTTAAGCTCTCACTGATTAACTAGTTCAATGCAAGTTCAAAACGGAGCTGCTGTAAACAGTCCTACACAGGTTTGAAAACTCTTCAAATTTATATGCTGCTATTCATATCTTTCTTTGTCGTCCTATGTCACAATTCAACTCACTAATGCTCAATAATATTTCTGTAGCCTGATGATTGTCTCTCCCACTTACATGCGATGACAAACCTCTACAGTTTTCTGCCTTAGAACGTTATACCTCAGAAACCATTTTATGTGAACACATACTTGTGTATTTTGACTGATACCTGGCTTTTTATGATACGAAGCAATGAATTCACTAGAATACTTTCAGTAAATTTATTCTGATAGAGAAGATTATTTTTGTCCACAAAAGTGTTTTTAATTGAATTTAATCAATCAGCCAAATACTTTAACTGTTCAAACAGTTCTTGTTTCACATCAGATTTCATTGAAGTGCTTCACAGTGTTGGGTTTGTGCCTGAACTCCCCATTGTGCACTACAGTATTAGAAAGAACTCAAAACACTCTTCACTTTGACAAGACTGTGCATGTTAGTTAAGGAGAAAAATAGTTTCCCAGCACTGAACCCTGTGACCAATTGATTCAAACGAACTAATTTCAGTCACCCACTTCATCACTCTTTCACAGTGCATCTTCTGAGTGGAGTGGCTTACAAACAATTTGATTAACATTTATTTATGAGAGGACAAATAAACATACCTGATTGAATTACAAAGTAAACATTCTGTGCTTCAAATCAAACCTACATATCTTTGAGGTTCACATTGGCTTAAATACCCCCAATCCTCCTTTTCTAATTAATACATGAACAACTACCAAAATAATATGTACATTTATTATCCAACTACACTTCAGACAGTACAAATAATGCCATAGAACAGTACAAATATCATGCAGTATTTGTACTCTAGAGTACAGGTTAAACAGGTTTTCTCACATCGCACAAGCAAAGAATTGGATTGTAGTGATGGGAAAAAAAAAGGCGGACAATTTGAATCATACTTCCGACGACAAAGAGTCAAAATGGCTGGCAAATATAGATCCAAGTTTATTAGATGAATCGAACAAAGAAAAACAGCTAAACGACCAGGAAATTTCTTCATTTGTGACCCTCCATAGGACTTTAAAGCTAAAGGTGATAGCACGCTCACAACACGCTGACACAATGCGCTTAGTGTGTCCTACAACACGGATTATGCATAGATTTAACAAAGAAGAGCACACTTGTTTTGTTACGCACGACTTAACATGCTAAATCTTTTCTTTCTCTTAGTGTGTGATCGGTAGTGCGCTTAATATATAGCTGTGTGATCGTTAGAATGCTTAGTGTACAATTGATGGCGCACCCCATACAAAAATTCTCGGGGAGACACAAGCCATAAAAAGTATGCTAATCAGCGAGAATCAAACATGACAAGTCATGGCAATGATTCGGCTGACACAAGCGAGACAAACGAACAAGAATTGAGCAAGAACAGAGCAAGACATGTGTGCTGCCGAGCGCATCTGATGGGGCCATATTCAAGCCCTCCCATTCGAAAATTTATGGCCAGACACGAGCGAGATTCAAGTCAGACAACAGTCCCCCTCTAAAACCAGCAAGAATCTAGCAATGAATGTTTTTCTCACTGTGGAACGCTCGTGAAACCAAACGCTACTTATGTTTATTCTCAGCCCTAAGACACTCCAAACTTTCTGTGATATTTTAGCGTGGTGGAATACTTGGAAATGAACGATGAGAGTTTGGAAAAGCTTAATCTTAATTTAGTGAGCCAAACTACAAAGACAACAGAAAATTTGTAGAAGCAAATAGTCTGTTAATATAAATACTTGTGACTTTTGCTTGCACCAGCGTGTTTATAGGTTTTAAATTACCGTTCAAATTCATTAGAGTACATCTGTGCGAACACTGGAACTGAATTTTGACAAAGCTTGTGCCTGGCATGGTGCTCGTGTTTATTTTGAGCAAACAACGCTTTTGGTCATCATGCTATTCACCCGCTCAAAAAATATTCCCCAAACTTTACCACGCGAGATTTGTTTTGCGTTTGTCCGAGAAAACATATCTCCATCACAATACACAAGACTTGAAATGGTCGACGTTTATGACCGAGAAAAAGATCGAAAACAGCAAAGCACACCGTCGGGTACTGTAAATCTGACTAAAGACTACTTCTTCCAAGAAACTGCAAAAAGCAATGAGTTACGTTGACTTTGAAGCTGAATCTCATCGTCTTTTATGCTTGAAAAACGGCGATCAATGGTGTATGTCAATACATACAATGTTGAAAGAAAATCAATAAGCTTATGCTTGACAACAAGCAGAATCGACTATTGAATAAAGGCTGATGGTTTCTAAAGAAACTGTTTGGGGCTGCGTCGGTGGGGGTAATGAAATAATTTGAATATATCAACAAAGTTGAAATGGTAAATTGGCCACCGTAATGATTACAAAAGCTGACGTTTCGAGCGTTAGCCCTTCGTCGGAGCGAATAGAGGAATTGTGGGTTGTGTGTGCTTTTAAAGGCAGAAAATGGAGCTACGTTATTGGTGGGTGCATGGCAACGAGAAAAAC